TAGCACACTTGGGGAAATAAACAAGATCTGTAATAGAGTAAAAGCATGAGAGGAGGAAAACTGTAGATTTCATTTTGTACTTTTTTTAATAAAAGAAATCTCGTGACAACTGGTGAAGCTTTTTTTCAAAGTTAGAATAGATTATGAGCATTTTTCTGTGTAAACAGTGTAACCGGCAGTAAAAGCACTTTTACACATATATAGTTAATCTACTGACTGTTTCTTCTCTTGTTAGTTTCCATTAAAATTTACATTGTTTAAAAGGAGAAGAGAAAAGAAATAGGGAGATAAAATAACCTGATTGTACTGGCTTGCTAAAGCCTAAAATTAGTAGAGGTAATATTATGAAAAAGATTTTCATCGGTAATATTTAATATGCATCAAAATTTGGTGGTCTCCACTTGAAATAGCACTGAATGACGATGATGGGAGTTTTAGGAAGGACCTGGAATTAATTTTTCAATTGTTTAATGTTATCAAATCTTGCTCAAATTACACTGCTATCGTCAAGATTGAAAAAAGTGTTACGTGTACGACATTTTTACGCGACTATTGATATCAGCAGATAATTGCTGAAGGCAAAAAAGCAGTTTTTGCTTTCCGTATTTGACTGTTTCATATCACCAGTCATTTTTGCCCGTCTGAATACGAAATTTAACTCTTTAAACTGACAACAGAATTGAGCTTAATTCTTGAAGATATAAACAAGACAATGAAGCAAAACATCCAGTAAACAATGGAAAAGATAAAAATGTCTCGAGAAGGAGCAATTCTGCTTAAATGATTATTAAGATGACGTTGAGAGAAAAAGGTACCAAAAAGTGCAAATATTCAACTGATGTAAAATATATCTGCGAATGAAATCTAATTTGACAACAGTAAAGTTTCACGTATTTTGTGTAAATATGATTCAATTCAAAGACTATCGAATAATAAAAAAATTTTTTTCTATTTCAAGATTGAATTGGTGACCTTTTTTTTTTTTTTTCTTTAGACAGCGGTAGGCTAACTGAA